TTTGGAACTTACTTGTACCTTGGGGTGTCTTCATAGATGATGTTCAAGATGTACAATTTTTACAGTTAATATTTGATAACATTAAGTTTAGAGTTACAGCATTTTAAATAGTGCCTAGTAGACGCAAAATCCTAAGTCTGACAAAAGCAAAGGCCCCAATGGGGATGTGTCAGATAACACACAAGCCCTTAGGATATCAGGCTCCACAACCATGCCCGCCACTGGTCGTTGCAAACCCCAAATGCATGACCACTTAGTTCTACTGTCTTGTGACTAATGCTTCTAAAAGGCTGAATCTAAAAGTAAAATATATAAAATACCAAAAATCATTTGTGCATAATTATGTGTTTTACATTGTGTATAATTATGTGTTGATTCACATTATCATTTTAAATACCTTGCCTTCTGGACAGGCTTTCATAACTGTGCACATTTATTTTATGCAAATCAACACTTAGAATGGCCCTAAGATATATGCATACAGGTGAATGACTAAACAGCACAAATAAAGGAGAAATATTATGGAAACTGTTGGCAGTTTAGAACCCTGCATTTCCACACTTCAGAATGATTTCTTGTGTCTTCTCTCATTCACAGCCCAGTTAGAAGCCCACAAAGTAAATTAATAAACGCCGTGAGTCACAGTATGCATTTAGGAATAACTTAGGCACTTTTACATAACAAATTTATCTGTGTAGCTACATGAAGTTTACGTAAACAGTTATACATCACAGATTGGCTATCTAAAGTGTTTCTGGATTCTGTCCACTTCTCACTTTCCCACATTGTGTGGGACCTCTTCATCTCTTGCCTACACTTCTCTCCAAACTATCCCACACACATACTGCCCTCAATATCCTCCATCTAAATAAACACAGAACTGGTTACATCCTCCCTCTGCTTAAAAATCCACCACACTTTCCCACTCTACACCTAGCACTTCACCAAGAAGCCTATTAAATAGGTAGAACAGACTGCAGCAGGTAAAACAATCCCTTTGAAAACACATGCTTTGTCTTTAAAATGTACGCATCTTTTTTTTGCATTCTAATCTATAAATTATACTTGTTGGATTTAATACAAATATCACAGTTTGGATTGTTTCCATTTCTAGAAAAACATGCTGTGGCAAGCTGATCTTGCAGCTTCACAAATCCCCTGGCCCATTGCCTCCTCATGCCCTCTGAGATACCTAGACTAGGGCAAAATCAAAATCAACTCTGCAAAAGCATACATGACATGTTACACTATATTCTCTTCCTGTCTCCAAACTCAACTCATAAGTTGTAAAAAAAATAATCCTATCCTTCACCCTGCAAGGTGTATTTCTAGAAGGTAATTCTTACAAAAGAGTCTGTAAAGAAAAATTAGTAGTTTGGTCAATACTATACCCCTCTTTTAGAAGTTCTTGATAAATATAAGGTCATTCAATATCCTAAGAAGTCTTACAATAAAACTTGTAGCCAAGATTAACCAGGAGCCACTGCTTCATAGAACCCACCTTGCTGAAGGTATGCTGCCCTCCACCAAACTCTCTGTCTTTCCTCACCCTGTTCCCATCACCTGGAAAGTCTCTCCTTTCTTCAACTGGCAAATTCCTACTCAATTTTAGAAATCTAACTACCTCCGCTTTGAAACCATTCCCAGCCATGCTAGCTGGAAATAAATGTTTTCTCCTATGTGTATTTGTAGCACTTTGTATAGGCATGTATGTAAAATTACACATGTCATAGTCTTGGATCTCCATGTCAGTCTTCCTAGCCAGATTGTGAGGAGTTTTAAAAGTAGAAACCATCCGTTATTCATTTATGAATCCCCTGATTCAAGCAAAGTTCACAAAACAACCTCAGTAAATGTGTGTGGAATAAATTGGTAAAAAAGATAAATGATCTTTCATGAAAATAAAATATGCAGCATCATATGCCAACTCTCTATCACCCCAGCCAGGAAATCTCTGTTGGGAAAAAAGGGTAACAATAACAAGACTTGGGGGAGGGATAATGGTCTCTAGAACAGCCCAGCGTGTGTAGATGACCCCTCTTACCAAATTTATAAAGAGAATCTTGAAACAGTCAAGACTATTACATGAATCCCTTATGAGACCCACTGTGTCTCTGTCCAGGGTGCTAATATTCCAGCTGGAGAGTCCTGGCTCTGTTTCAAAACCAGGCAGTCAACTCCAACGGGAATATAAATGTTTGCATATTTCATTATTTCTGCTATAGAGACTTCCTTTTCCCCTAGGATCTCAGGACAGTCACACTCAATCAGCTACAGTTCAGCCAGTTTAAATAAACTAAGCTAACTTTTCTGCAAAAGTAGTTACCAATTCTAAAGGAGACAAGAGATGCAAAGAACTTGCAAGTTAGATGTAGCTTTTCCTTGCATCCCTGCCTGTAACCAATGAGCAACTTTGGACAAGTGACCACACCTTTCTAGGGATCAACTTCCCAACCTCTGAGTTGAGTGGCTACATAATTAAGATTAAGCAAACCTTCAGTGAATCACTAGTGTATGTCAAACATTTTTTTCTTATTTAATCCTCTTGAAACTCAGTGAAGTGGGTATTACTATTCTCATTATACAAATGAAGAAACAGGGCTTAAAGAGGTAAAGAAATCTGCTCAAGACCACACCATGAGCTCGAAGCATTGCCTGCCTAGGAAGTTCAATATGTTCATGGCTGGACAGCCAAGGAGAGATCAAGGATTTTTCCCCTCCCAACTTCCTATGACCTCACACTGCTAATGGCTGTCTTCACATGTGTTTCTCTAATACTGTAATGATGATGATACCCAGTAGTCATGGTTTTTGTTATTTTTTTAAAAATTTCCTACCTTGACACAAATTTGTGTTTTAAATGTTTGTTACATTGTGGTGTAACTCAAGCTTATGCCTAAACCTCTCATAAGACCCCCATATCCCTTGTATAACCTGACTCCTTAAGGGTCTCTTAAAGAGGCAAACACACTCAGAAAAAAGCTTGCAGCTACTCTGTGAGTGCTATTCTCTCCAAAGAGAAACCAGCCTTAGGAGGACAGCTTCACTTGCTCACCGTTCCTACACCTTGGCTAAGTAGCCACTGTAACTTCACATGCCATCCAGCCAGCACAAGGACCACTCAAGAAAGGCAGCTGTGGAGCATACCCATGGTGAGACCATCTTGCTGGCTGGAGCCAATCCTGGGCAAATGGGATAGTGAGAGGTGGGTTTCACCTTCCCAGCCTATCATGTACCAACTGTGAAGTGTGTTGACTGGATTCTCTATCATGTGTGTAGGGGATGGGGTGGGGAGTGTTGTTTGGTTTGGTATGTTTTAATGAAAATCACCACAGTCATGTGATAGCTTTGTGGTCTCTCAAAGTACCTTCACATCATTAGCTCCTCACAGTGACCAATGAAATGCTATCATCCTAATTCATTAACAGCACATTACAGGCTCAGATCACTTACCAAACTTACATAATAGCAACCATCCAGAAACTGACAGAGCCAGAACCCATCAAGGCTCCCAAATACAAATCCTGAACCTCTTAAAGTAACAGAGAAATTGCTCTGTAAAGCACTTGCCTCTCCAAACACCCAGAGACCTGCACCCCTCCCAAAGCCTCTGCACTTACATTTCTCTGACCTGGCTTCATTCAATGCCAGAGCTTCTTTTTCAGTCTCACTTCCCCTAACTCCATCTCTCCATCCTTTCCTCTCTCCTGTAATCTATGCTCTGTAAATTTTTGCTCTTTTGTAACCTGTACAATGACACTTGTCTTTCATGATAAGTTGACCATGCCATCACATATACATTGATTACTTTAAAGCATAGTTATATCTGTAGGAGAAATTGCACATTTAACACAGGTGTAGTATGGGAGAGGAAGCTATTCGTCATGGAAATTCTAACTAGGTTAACTGACGCAACATACATCAGTGTGGTAGTGTGGGTACTCTTTGTTTGTAAGATCATGAAATATCACATGTCTTCTTACACCACTTATCTGAACCTCTCTGGTGGCTCTTTCCACACTTTCTGTGTGGAACTTGAGGCCATTCACACACCTCTTTCCTCCCTGAATACCACTCTGCCTATGTCCCACTCCTACACCCAGATGCCCCAGAACAGAATCTAATGCTTTGTACAGACTCCGCACAGAAACCCATTTATAATGAATGGGTTTTAACTTTTGTAAAATATTTGTATTGCATGAAAGATATGACAATGAAAACTGAACCTGCAGAGAAGTCTAGAAGAGCAAAAGAAAAAGAACTTGCGCATATCATACAGATTTGTCAACTAAAATGAGCACTAATAAGCCCACAAAGAAAGAATCCCATGGGCTGAGAGCAGCTACCTGAAGGAACAGACAAGTGTATCTCGAGTGTGGACTCAAAGCTGGGCTACCAGCACTACTCTCGACAGTAAGAAGGGGGAAAATTGCCCATTATTGGTATTAGGGCAAGGGGCATGTAAATGCTCACAGCTGGCCATCTCCCTGGACAGATCAACCAGCTGCAAAGCCCAAGGCCAAACCCCTACCCAAAGAAACTACATACCTACGTCAGGCAGCAGCAAAGTCTAGAGATGGCAAAATTGGTACGAACTGCATGCTAACACTTAGAACATAAGGAGTACTAAAGTGTGATCATTTGTACCCTATTCTTGCTGATTCTGGCTCAGGATGGGGATACTTTCATCCTGAGTTTCTAAGCTGAGGGAAAGGTGGGACTGAAGTACCCATGCACAGGTGGCTGGGGCAGTGGAACAGGCTTCACGGGGTTCCTCCTTGGTGGTGGGGAAACTGAGGCACAGAGCAGATGGGGAAACTGAGGTACGAAGCAGAGGGCAGGCCCAGGTCGGAAGCAGAACGCGGTCCGCCTCGCCATGAGCCAACTAGCGTGTCCCAGGCAAGTTACCCCGCCTGGCCGCCTGGCCGCCTGATGCTTCCGCGACCCCTAGGAGCCAAGGCGGCGAGAGGGAAACCCTGCGGCCCGGCGCCGGGACTCACCACGTCCATGATCTGCAGGAGGCTCAGGGAGAAGTAGACGGTGAGTGGCTGCGAGTCGTTGGCCACGGGCCTCTCCAAGGGGTTGTAGTTCTTGACCAGCTCCTTGTACAGCTTCCTCTGGAACTCGCCTTGCAGGGACACTTGAGAGGAGAGCCCGGCGGGCTGCTCAGGGAAGGCCAGCGGAGGTGCACCCCACGCCCCCTGCCCGCGGACCCCCGCCTCCCAAAGCAAGCAACCCAGACGAACCGGGCTCTCACTCCCCGGACAGTCCCCGGCAGCGCCGCCCACTGTCCCTCGCTGGCGCGAGCCCCCAAACCTGGCCCGGGCGCGGAGCGCACTGAGCCGCCGGGATGCGCCCGGGATCCCGCGGAGGAGGAGTAGAGGACTAGGAGACCCGGCGGCTTTACCGTGCAAGAGCGACGCAGCCAGAGCCAGCCACACTGACCGGCGCATGTTGGGACTCAGAGCTGCCGGCGCCGGCGCGCCCAGCGTCTCGATAGTCGGCCGGGGCCTGCGCCTGCGGCCGCAGAGCCGCCTCTCCCGGCTCGGCTCCCGCGCCTTTAAAGAGCCGAGCGCGCGCCTCCGCCCCGCCCGCCTCCGCGCGCTTCTCCACGTGACGAGCCCCGCCCCCGCCCCCACCCCGGCCGGTCGGCGGGGGCCTGGGCGGCTCGGCGGCCGTCCGGGGAACTGCAGCCAGCCGGTGTAAGTGGGAAGTGCGCTCCGGCGCACTGGTTACAGCCAGGGCACCCCGCCTCGCCGCCGTCTCCACCGCTGCCCGGGTCCCTCCGCATCACGCCTCCGGCCAAGCCAGGGGCTGCCCTAGGCCAGGTTCTGTCTCTCCTTTTTGTCCTTGCCCCCCCCCTCCGCTCCCTCCTGCTTTTAGCCAGAAGCTGCATGGGTCGTTGAGAGAGAGAGGGACAATTCTGGGGTCCAGTCCCCCAGGGCCCTCCCTCCCTTACGACAGTGGCTGGGTGACTGCAACTGGAAACTAGGCTCCCACAGGTTGGGAAGTCTCTCCAACCAGACAAAACAGACCTGAGAGGAAGCCCCCCTCCCACCTCCCGCCTGAGATTCTGTCAGCAACCATTTACTGGGCATCGCCAGCCCGATTCTCACGTAGGTTCTGGAAGTGCTGAGAGAAGAGGGGAAATCTCTGCCGGGGAGACATCCTAAGGGGGGAAAAACTCTGCAAAACTGTGTGGTGGGAATTCCAGCGGACACCCCTCCTTATGTCTCGTTCTCTTTTAAACGAGATTTAAGATTGAAAAGTTACTTCCTATCCCCTTTCTGGAAGGACAAACTTGGTGGTGTGATTTAGGCTTTTCTCCTTCTCCTTTTTAACCCGGAAGAGAGTTAATTGACAGGGGGAGGCTCAGAGAAAACATCAGTGAAATGGTCAGGGGCTAAATTGAGTCCTAGAGATTGAGGAGAGGGCATGGGCTTGGACGAGGAAGGGCGTGAGGGTAGGGAGGCGGAAAGCACTGTCCCACTAGCGCTCAGCAAGCAGGTTGCAGAAAGCTGAATGCAGCAGGTTTCCTGAGCCCACGTAGGGGGCGCTGCCTCAGAGTGTCTGAACTACACCAGGCGCTCAGACAGGTGAACCGAGAGAGGCAATGCCCACCCACATTTCTGCACCGCATAAGACACAGGATTCTTGGATGACATTAAAAACAAACAAACAAACAAAACGAAACACTAGAAAAGCTGACCAAAACGTGACTGCTTTGGATTTATCGGAGGGGCAAGACTGGACGACTGAGCCAGTTATTTTATTTGGAAAAAACAAAGAAATGTGACAGCCTGGCAAGGAAGTGTCTGATAGCAAATTCACACCTGTTAACTGATGCATGTCTAAACAAATAATCAGTGTAGGCTTTGATCTGCGATAAAGTCCTAGAAGATTGATTCTCTCTGGGGAAGAGTTCATAGAAATGACATCCAACCTGGGCTTGACACAAAGGAGGGTTCAGCCAGGAGAAGGGAACCCCAGGATAGGGTTTTCTAGTGAGCAGACAGGTGTGCTCTTAGCTTTCATCGGGCTCCTGAGTTCCGCCGTCTGTAGCAGTCTGGATACACACAGATCTGGCACTGGTGAAGAAATGAACTAAAGGGCATCAGGTGTAGGCAAAAAGGGAGTCAGAGAAGATAAAATAAAACGTCAGAATAGAGGAGACATAAGACACATCAACAGGGAGATTCTCACTGGCATGCTATCCCCACTGGTCTTCTAAATGCAGAACTCGCTTTCAAACACATTTCATGAAAGTATCTAAAAGCCCTGCCTTCCATTCTAGAGGAATATGAGCCTAGAGGGGCCAAGGGAATTCATATACCTTGAGTTTGGCCATTGGGATCACCTTCCTAAAAGCATAAATACTTCTTACATCCCTTGTGCCTATAATATCAGAAACCTAGAACTAAATTACTTTCTGGTGGGACAACCAGTCAGTGAGTTTTTATTTATGTCCTGTGTTCTGCTAGATACTTGGGGGACCTATAAGCGCAACCCACTCACACAACTAACAATTTAGAGCTAACATGAGTGTAGATAAATAAATTCCAGTCTGTGCTGTGCCAGTAAATAGGCCTATGAGTTTGGCTATGTTCATCCCCATCTATGAGACTCAGTTTTTTCGTTTGTAAAATAAAGAAAAGAATGGGACTTTCTAGGAGTTGAGCTGACAGAGCTGCCGGCTTCCCTTTCACTCTCATTCCCAACATGAGGGGAGTAAAACATAGGAGAAAATTAACACATATTTGAGCTAGAAAGACAGGGACCAGAAACAAATCCAGAATAGTTACTCACAAGCAGGTGCTGTTATCACAGTCCCCAGGAGAGGGGCATAACTAGATGTGGGCTCCAAGCATAAGAGTCTTAAATTTTAACAAACCTCCATGAGGCATCCTGGCCTTGAGTCTACGAGAGGTAGGGGACTGGAACAAAGATATCCAGGTTAACCTAGAACCTGCAAAAATCTCCCCTTCCATGTAAAAATAGACCAGCAAACCCTAACCATGACCAAGGGTAATGGGAGGAAGCCTGTTTTCTGCTTTCAGTCTGGATAGGGGGAAAAGGTAACTATACATTAATAAACTAAAAAATGCAGGGGCGCCTGAGTGGCTCAGTCTGTTGAACGTCTGACTATTTTGGCTCAGGTCATGATATCGTGGTTCATAGGTTTGAGCCCCACTTGGGGCTCATCTGTGCTGTCAGTGCAGAGCCTGCTTGGGATTCTCTGTCTTCCTTTCTCTCTGCCCCTTCCCAGCCCTCTCCCCGCTCCATTCTCTCAAAATAAGTAAATACACTCTTTGAGAAAAAATGCATAGTGCTTAGGTGTGTGTCCAAATGTATACAACCCACATGGTTTAGATTTCAAGAATTCCTCTGGAGACAGCTTCCATAAATTTACATACATGGAGCTCTAAAAAACTTACTTTCATGAAAATAAATTCAAACTAAAAAATATAAAACCCACACCAAAATAAACTACATCCCATATGAGGTAATAGTAAAGGAAAGTACACAGACCACAGGCAGAAAAATAAGTACCCCACAATTAGAGATAAGAGGATAACCTGGAAAGAAAAAAACTATAAAATAAGTATTTTTAAAGTGCCAAAGTTATTGAGTAATACCAGCTGCAATAATAATCCACAAATCCTATTGACATAACACTATAAAGTTTATTTCTCTCTCATACCATAATCAAAAAGTTCCAGTGACTTCCCTAGGGGGCTAAGCTCCTCAAGTGTTTTAGAGATAGATGATCCTTTCAACAACTGGATTGACCATGTTCTGGGCACAAGAGGAATATGCTAATTGAAGTCTCTGCTGGAGCCTCAACTTTTATGCAGCCCGCAAACAAGTAGAAGTGTACCTGCGCCAGGCCTGGAAGTTGCTTGTATCACCTCTGCCCACACGCCACTGGCCAGAGTCAAGTCTCTTGATCACAACCTCAAGCAAGAGAAGCTGGAAGACAATCTTTTTATCTGGGCCTGGGCAGAGAGGACAAGGGTAAGCAGTATCAGTAATATGGTATATAGCGAATAAAGTAGGAGTTCATAAAGGAAAAGAAACGGACAGAAAGTAAAACACGAGCCTCTAGGGGAAAGCCCATAGCAATTAAAATGGAAAACCTAACAAATGTGGTAAAGAGAAGATTGGCTAATGATGAAGAAATCAGTGGGTGGAAGAGCTGAAAAAGGTACCCAGGAATCAACTAAATAAGAAAGGTTAAGATATTAGAAGGATAGAATAAGAACTCATTTAATAGGAATTCTAGAAAATTTAATAAAAAGAATAGGTGAGAAATTATTTAAAGAGAAAATGACTAAGGGATGCCTGGGTGGCTCAGTGGGTTAAGCATCCAACTTTGGCTCAGGTCATGATCTTACAGCCCTGCATTGGTCTCTGTGTTGACAGCTCAGAGCCTGGAGCGTACTTGGACAGCATGAGCAGGGAGGGTCAGAGAGAGAGGGAGACAACAGAATCTGAAGCAGGCTCCAGGCTCTGAGATGTCAGCACAGAGCCCGATGAGGGGCTCAAACCCAAGAACCGTGAGATCATGACCTGAACTGAAGTCGGATGCTTAACCGACTGAGCCACCCAAGCACCCCATAGAGTCTGCTTTGGATTCTGTGTCCCCCTCTCTCTCTCTGCCCTTCCCTGCTCATGCTGTCTCTCTCTTTCTCAAAAACGAATAAACATTAAAGAAATTTTTAAGAGGAAATGACTAAGAATTTTCAGTTCTCAAAGAAAGATAAATATCAAATTGAAGAAGTACGATAAACAATGATCTAGCACCAGGCTGGCTCTGTCAGTAGAACACGGGACTCTTGAATTTGGGGTCTTGAGTTTGGACATCACGTTGGGTGTAGAGATTATTTAAAAGTAAAATTAAAAAAAAAAAGCAATGATCATGTTAAAGAAACAAAAGATTCATCAGTAGATAGTGAGGCTGCTGAAACTATTAAACAGCAAAAAACACAAAACAAATTTTAAAGGAGACAAAAAGGAATAATTTAAATGCAAATCTAAATAATCAATGACTGTTAAATAGGAAGAACACTTTGGAAGGGAAAAGGTATAATCGAAGAGGACATTTCTGGCCCTTGCAAGACAGCAAATTCAGGTAACAGGCAAAATCTGCTGAAAAGAAAAATCCAATCAGCCAAAATGACAAAGTATATTGGAGATTGACAAATGTTAAGAAATTAAGAAATTTGGTCTGGTGCACATTTATAAAAGCATACACACCCAACAATTAGTGAAAACACATTCTTCTTAAATAAATTAAATATATACATATGGTTCCTACTTAATATTATTTTGGTATATTCTTTGCTTTTATTTAAATGAAATTAATGTTTTTATTTATTTCTGAAAGAGAGAGAGAGTCAACGTGAGCAGGGGAGGGTCAGAGAGAGAGCAAGATACAGAGCTTGAAGCAGGT